AACTGATGATAATATAGATTTTAAGGCTATTAGAAAAACATAATCTACAATCATGGTTATAGATGCTGAGGGTTCTGTTTTTTTATGAGACTTGGAAATAGGGGATTCCTTCTTGTGAGTCTTTTTTATAGGTACTGCACTTCGTACCACTTTTTTTTTATAGCATAGCAGTTTCGGTCAGAGATGTTTATGGTAGAATCATCATTATCAAGTCATCTTCTTCTACTTCCTCCTCAAGTATGTATTCTATTTCAGATTCTTCAGAATCATCAGGGGGTTTTCTTGTGATCAAATCTTTCTCAGCATTTTGGTATACATAATTAACCTTTTTAGTTGTCTTAACTTCAAGACAATTAGTCTTTATATAGCCAGCCTTTCTACAGACTGAGCAAAGACGAACAAAATGTTTAACTGGTATTTTTTGTTTTACCTTTCTAACAACTTTTTTTGTAGCATTAACACTTCTAGGCTCAAAAGGGCTCTTTCTTACATGAGCTGTTCTGCTTTCCAATTTTTTTTGAAAATCATCATAGATAAATTGTTCTAAAGTTGCGTTATCTGTTGCTATTCCTGTATATTGCAAATCCCTTGCAAGTCGAATTTTAAAATCATCTTTTTGCGATTGAGTAATTAAAGCCTAAGAAGTGGGAGGTGCTTACTCTGCAATTTTTCCTCTACATTCTAACCAAATTTGTCGTAGATTTGTGAAAAAAGCATTTAAATTAGCTGGATTAGCTTGTCTAAGTCTTATTTCCATATATTGTGTCATATGACTATAAAGATAAGGCAATACATCTGCATAAGGAATACCATACGCATATGTCTTGATTCTTTTCTTATAAGTATCTGCTATATCCATTGTGGAAAATTTTTCATTCATAAATGATCTTAGTGCGTCTTGATTAGTTCCAATCATTACTTCCCGATATTTGCCTTGTAACCAATTCAAGAACTCTGCCTCATTATTGATTGAAGCATTAGCATTATATGGATTATTAACAGGAACTGGGTGGGATCTACCTGTCATCTTTTTTCTCATTTTATTAGATCTTACAAGGAGATTAAAACCTGCAACAGCCAATGGTCGGGCTAATTCGTTAATATTTCTAAGTTTAGCATAATATGAATCTGGTTCT